AAATGTCCTATCGCGTGTAAAATACATGGTACATCATCTTTCATTGTGTAATTCGAGTCGTTCAAATAACATTTAATAATATTTTTTTAATATTTCAAATATTTTTTGTAACAATTTAGTGAAGATGAAAGTGGCTGTATACGAGTATGCCGTAGAATAGTATTAATAAATAATTTTCCACATATTTATAACTTATCAAATCTCCTAATAACAAACAGCGGCCACTTTTAGGAACTTTTTAAAACAAAAATACATGCAAAATAACCTCCAAACAACGGCCATTATTTATGTCCTGTCAGTGGCCGTTGTCAGTGGTTTGACTGTATTTATAATTATTTACCGATTACAAATATTTTCAACTTCTTCGAGATTTAAAAAATATTTTTACAGTATAGATGTTACGGGTTTTTCTTAGTTAAATAAATAATTTTTATTAAAAAGTTTCAAGAAAGTTTTGTAGAACTATTTATTTAATTAAAAATAATAAATTGTAAATTGCAAAATAAAATTTAAAAACTGGTAAATATGTGGTAAGTACCTGTGAATGGTAAATTATTTACCATTTGAATAACATTAAAAATGATTGTGTTATATATATATATATATATAATTATCCGGAGTGGATTGTTAATGAAAAATGTTTGAAATATTAATGGAATATTTACAGCTTTTCTATTGTTTACTCGGCTACATTCTTTACTGAATACCTTCTTCCGACATTAAAAAGGGATATTCGTCTCGGATCACGCATATTCGTGTCAACCTTACTCTTAAACCAAAACACGAGAAAACACGTAAAAAGATTTCGACACGAGGCCACGCCCTAATTTAACAATGAATTAAAAAATATCCTCTCGAGTACGTTTGCTTGTTGCCCATCTCTTCTCTTATAAATTTATTTAAGAGTAGGAAAATAGTGTATTAAATTATATAATAGATCTTTCTGTCTAATAGGCCTACTGGTTGTATTTTTAATTAATTCATTTATATAGAAAAAATGCTTTAAAAGACCGGAAATTATTTTTCGATTTGTTTCTTTCCTTCAGTTAATTGCTTAAAAGGGTTTTTTCTAGGTTTGTTTTATCTTAAGAATTATTTTTAATAGTCTGAAATCTTATTAAACGAATTTAATTTTTTATTTGGTTCGATTAAAAAAGAGTACTTCAAGAAGTCAATTTTAAAGCATATTTATTCAAGTAGCTAAATAAATTATGCGTCGTTAATTAAACCAGAAAATAAGGGAGAAAAATAGTCTTCATCTCGTATATTTGCTGATTTAAAAGCTGTTTTTAAGCTCGATTGCTGTTTTTCCCATGAAAATTTCTAACAGTTCCAGCAATAAAGAGGATTTGATATATTTTTTGGCTGATATCCCACGCTAGTTTCATCTCTATCACGTTCTTAATCTGATATACAAGTTTTATGCTTAACGTCTGGAAGCCCGACGAAGATTTCAAGAACTTTTCTAGAATTTTTTTATGTCGTTTACGTTGCTAGATCTTAATCGATTTTGGCAATCGATTCTTTGTGTTTTTTCCCGAAAGGTCTTCTATAAAATTGCTAGATTAAACTCGATAAATATATGTATAATCATGCGATTTCGAATGATGGATCATGATACCGGCCGGGTGATTGCTCTGGTAAGAGATGGGACGAGACACGAATACCAGAGTTTCCGGTTCGTGTCATCTCTTATCAATAACACTGACTTGTGTGTTATGTATGTGTATATACATATACATATATATATTTTCTTCTTCTTTTTTCACATTTTCGACACGAAAATCACTAGAATGAATATCTCGGCTGACGATCCCGGAACTCGACTAGAAACGTACACTCCCATTACACGGCGAGGGTGGAAGAGTCGGATCATTATCTGGCTACCGAAGTTCACCCCGTGAATTATAGATAATTAATGAAAGGTTTTTTCGATGGGCTCTTATAAAACCAACCATTGTACCAGGTTTCTTGATAAATTTCTTTTTTCTCTCCCCACTTCTTTGCCTGTATGATTTTAATACCTCTCGCTGCCGTTTGCAGTTCGTTAATCAAATGAATCTAAAAGTCACGGGTATACAATAATGGCTTTTATCTGGTTTTTGTAAAGACTAGGAAGTGTGTATGTATGTGCTAGATTTCATGTGCGTGATGCGATCGTCAGATCGGTTCGTGTAGTGAGTTTGTCATAAACTATCTTAAAATTGCGTGATTTGGTGATAAAATAATTACGTTTTTTTATAGCTAAAAGTATGAGATCGGAATTTCTTTAACAGAATGAAAGTATTGCGCACCGAATGTTCCGAATTATCTTGATGTGGCACGAGTTAATGGCACATTTTTTTAGTTGTGAAGTTTTTAGTAGTAGTTTTTAGTTGCGTCAGTCTAACCTAACAAACCGAGTAAAACCGAGCAAAATGTAGCAAACCGAGTAAAAATGAAAATTAACTCGTTAATCCTTTCTAAAAATACAGCAGAATATATACGATATTCATCTATCAAATTAATCCAATTAGGCAATTATCTGGAGGGAAATGTTTTTCTCGATAACGAGAATCGTTATGAAAGCTATCTGCCATTACAAAATAAATTACGCGTAATAGAATAAGATGATATAGCTTATAACACGAAACAAACTCGCGTAACGAGATGCAAAGGGTGAGATTTTAAGCTTCTACTTTAATCCGTAAATATCATGATACAGAATAACTGTCATTAAATAATTCGTGTAATTTTTACCAAATTTTTTGTTAATTTTCTTGTTACCTCTAACTATGAAGTTAGAGGTAACAAGAAGAAGGAATCTCTTGTTACAGGACCTCGCGCTTTTAGTATCGAAACTGCTGTGTGTAATTTTTATCTGTGTCGCACGAGATTTCGATTAGTTACGAATGGATTGACAATCAGTCCCTCAACCGAAACAGGGATTAGTACTTGAATTCGTCTTTAAATCTTTTTGTTTTTTCCTTAAAACGTTACTAAAGCGACCTTCCCGACTAAAAATCGGATTCGGAGTGAGAAGTGAGAAAGAATACTTTTCGCACGCACTCGAGTATGATCTGCTGTAGTGGTCATTGAACTGTCGAGAAGAGATTTTCGAGTGTTTGGAGGTCAAAAGTAACCACCGCAAGGCCATTATATGGATTGTTTTGCACGAATGCGTCGCTATCAGAAGCTGGATGTTAGCAGTATTCATTTGCATACTGCTCCGGTCAATTATAGAAGCGGGGGACATGTCTCTTTTTTCTTCTTCTTCTTTTTACACTCCTCCCCTCGTTAATTACAAGCCATTTCTTATTTTCCTGCTTTGCGAATGATTGATTGCGCGTGTTTCGCGGATAAAGTCACATTTTTTACGTTTTGATGGTGACAAATTTCCTATTTGTCAAACTGATGCGTTATCAATGCTTAAGGAAATTTTCATTTGAAGGAAGTCCGTTCGCACGCAACCATTGCAAATTGATAAAGAAAGTAATCGAAATTAATATAAAATTTTCTTATTCCTTCATTATTTATATCCAAAACTTTAATTAGAAGAGCGAATTCTCTACTCTTCGCGGGAAGTTTGCTACTCTTCGAGAGAAATTTTCTAGTTGTGTTTACAAATTTACATTACGAGCACTGTGTGAAGAGGTAACACTAATTTAGTATTAAATTCTTCTTAAAAGTAGTACAAATAACTAATTAAAATCCGCGACACAACATATTGTGTTTCCCCGTGGTTTAAATTGATCCTACATAAAGTCATTCTAATTTGTTGAGGTGAAGTAGACCCACACCCATATTGAATTATTAGAATAAAACTATCGATTAATCGACGGGTTAATTAATAAGTTTGGTCTAAAGAAAATCAAGGTTATCGAACCACCTTAATTCGGATAGATTCTCTGGGGTCTAACAAAAGGCATACCACAGAGTTCGATTCCACTTGTAAGTTCATTAAAAACTCTCCACCCTCTCTCACACTCGCTCTTTCCTTTTTTTTCTGACAATCCAATCAGTACGTGCCCTAAGGCAAATATTCTCTAAAATCGTTAGACCGTATTCAAAGCATTGCCGACTACAGATCAAAGGTCAAAACGCCTAGAAAAGAATCAAAAAGATCCGAGGACTATGGTTTTTTTTAATGGCCATTATCATATAATCTCGCTTCGGAAGAATTCGAAACTAATTAAATCGATCGATATGAAAATCTCGTGTTTCGCATCATTTTCATTTTCCTTTTCCTTTGTCCTTTATACTATTTATGAACCTTCCGGTTGCACCTTATAACGAAATATGGAAATTTAGTGATTAGCGGGTGCTCCCGACGTTGCTTCGGTTGCTCGAACTCAATATGCATTCTTCCACCTCTGAAGCTCACCCCCTAATATAATAGCTGTCATTAGGGGGATGGTTATTTATTCGAGGAGAAGATTCGTCGCTACCGTTGGACGGTATCGAACGATGTTGCCGAACAAAAACGCTGTAAATCTATACCGTCGGTTTCGTAAAGCGTTATCAGATTTCTCTTTGTCATGAAGGTAACATTTTGTCGAAGATTAAATTGTGGGTAGGATGTTCGAGCGCGTGACCGATAGAGCCGAAAATCATCTGAAGATCTTTTCGTTAAGTGCCTAAACAGGTTTGAAAGGATGCTAATTATCCCATAAGTTCGTTCCTTTTCGACCTCCCGACTCCGAATGGTTCGAAAAATAGACACGTCATACCAACGGCTCGTTGAACTCGTGACACGAGAAGCCAAAGAATTAATTATTTTGCAACTTCGTTTCGATTGTGGTAATTCTTGTTTGGTAGAATTTTTTTTTTCTGTGAGGAACACGGAGAATTCTTCATATTTTTGGTTGCTTTGGCGCGATAACCGATCCCGAATTCGTGTCGGGGTTGTACTCTAAATTCTAATTTACAAAAGGGAAAAAATCACTATTAAAATAAAAAAGTCGATCAGAAACAAAAGACATCCCCTCTAAAAGTCAGATAAAAAAATTCGAGTCTACTTTTTAATGTGATAAGTATGGGCCTTTATATGATTCAGACAGTTAATCCATCTCGTCTCGGTGACTCAGACTCGATAAGCCTCTATGTGTTTTATCAGCAGCTAATGGCACAAAATGAAGATGCCGTAGGCACTACCACGCCTATTTTATGAGTAAGGATACCTAATATTCGACTCGTCGCCTCCTTACTTTTAATTAGTAAATTGCCAAAACTAGCTATGCAGATTTTTATCTCATCGAGTCTGTTCTAACTCCTGTATAGTCTACTTTACTGTTATGTTTACGTGCTAGCGACAAAGCTGCACACTTTCTAATTTAAGAAGTGTTAAACGCGTTGCAAGAACGTAAACGATCTGTGTCGAGTAATGAATATTAAGTATTTTGTTTTGTGTCTTTTGCAGGGTGTCATTCGGTAGTTCCAAGGGTTCCATGGTTGAAACACTAGTCTACGACCATCACGAAGAGTTGCCATATTTGCCTCCTTTCAACACAGCATTGGTGCAAAAGTAAGTACCAATCTTTTATTTGTAGTTTGCACTCCACGACCCCCGTTGGACCTCTGCCATTAGAATCATCCGCGCAGCTGCTATATTACTATAGACGCGTGTTGCACGCCACGTAAGTTTATGGCTTTCGAGGGTGACCATTGTTCGTTGCCCCGGTATACTCGCGAAGTGACAGCTGAGTCCACTGTTTACCCTGTCCGTTTCGAGGCCATCTGTTCTCGACCCGGTGCTGGAAATAGTGTGTCCGGTGGACGGGTCAAGGCGGGAAGAGACGAGGATGTTGTTACCATGGAAACCGGTCGTATCCAGAATCAATACGTCTCTCCTGCACTGCAGTTTTATTCGGTCGGTCCAGAAATAGAAACATCGTGTCATTCCGACGTATAACGATAACGATAAGTTAAGCAAAACGCGCCGAAGACGACTATAGTAAAGATGGATGCCGGCGTTCGTTCGTTTGTCCATCCGTAACGCGCTAGGAAGCCGACCGAACAATGCCATAATGCCACAGATCGGCATGAGTCACGGTGCGGGCCGAAAAGAAATGACGAAGAGCATCGAGTCGATGATTCACGACTGACTTAATCACAATCTCTCTTTCCTCTCTGTTCGCGATCCGGAATAACATTCGACTAACTCGGCGCGTAATTCGCTTACGCGTGACGTAAGATAATTGCACCCTCATCCATCGATTAAACCGGAATTCTACGCGCGAAACTAACGGAGAGCTTTCCCCCCTATTTGATAAATAAACCCGAGAAGGTTCCGTGACCACTTTTTAGCTTATGGACTGATGAGTAATCGCCACGATGAATGTGGCATACCTATCGACGCGAGCTCGTCCACGTCCGATCGATTTTTAGTCTTTGGCATCCTAATAGGAAGGAGTCTAACCGATCGACTAGTCTCTTCAGTCCGAGATTTGGGCAACGAGCCAGAACCATCTCGTTGTGTTGCGGTACGCAAACACTACAGACGAAGCTAATTTTTAAAGACGGAACCTATTCGAAGTGCTAAGTTAACAAGCAAATTCGCCACCGCCCCGGTAGACAATGTGGGTGTTAATTGCCATTTTAGTAATTCGTCACGCGAATGACCACTGTCAGCAATATATTCTAGCGGGCGAGCCGTTACTCGTTTCATTGTTAACGTTTTAAAATGATTCACGTGTTTGACCGACGTGACGTCAGTCAGAATAACATTTCCTGATTATCTTCCTCCTGAAGGTTATCGATTCGACAAATGCAGGCTCGTATTCGCTTATGGAAAGACGTCGTATTGTCTAGATTATTACGGATCCAGAGCCGCAGTTGGCAGAAATTTCTATAAACAAAGGTCGCTGGGAAGGAAGTCGTATGCGTTACGGTACATTCGCGCGCGCAATGCTGCTCGTCTTTATTAAGGTTAATAGATCACGTGGTTTCGGTTAAGGTTATCTTATCGTCATTATCTTCGGTTTACGTCACCCTTTGTTCGTTCATTTAAATAATTTCTCTCGCTCCGATATGCTAAATTAGTGTTACTATATCGAATTAGAGTGTTTGTTTATTTTTGCGCTGGCAATTAGGAGGTGTGACGTTTTAACGGATGGCGGCGAGATCTCGAAGAAACGCGCCAATTTTATACGACAGTTTTGCGTCTTTGTCGGGGCCCTGTACAACGTCTACGATGGTGTTCCCCCCTTCGGTGCCCCTCGACTAAAGAAAAAGGGCACCGGAAATGGCAGAATGGAGCGGAGAAACGCAGCGACCGGTTATATCTCCGGTCGACAGAAAAAAACTCGTAAAATGCAAATCCTCCATTTAAGTTCCTCGCGAAACCGGACCTTTTTCAAATGACATCCGGTCAGCGGCTAATTGTAGAAGACGGCTTCGAAATTAAATTCGTGAAGAAGACACCAGACGTCGCCTTGATTTAAAAAAAATGAGAAGGGGCGTTGTTGCTCTTTTCTCCGGTTTCCGGTGAAATCTTTTGTTTCCTAGGCTGGGATCACGTGAACGCAGGTCACGTGACGAGCCGACAAATTTCAAGACGGGATGTGGAGTTCAAGGTCTGCAGGTAAAATGACTTCCTTTTTTATTACGTTTATGTTGGCATTTGGATGACGCCCTTCTCTATATAACATATTTATTTTATCTCATGTTATTGTTATTTAAAATTCGTGCCACGTAATGTGGCTTAACACGATAAAATAAAATTACAACGCACTTTCGTCTTCGCCAGAGGTTTTGATTCATGTCGCCATCTAACGAACGTGAACGAAAACAAATATTTCAGAAAATAAATACGTAAATAAAGAGTTAATTTTATTCACATCCGACAGATGGCAACACAGTAGAGGTTTTAAAATGTCTTTTTTCCGAATAATTATTTTATTTTTAAATTATGANAAAAAATATATTTTTTATTAATTAAAAAATATTGAAATTATTAATAAGTCGTCTTCATTAATTATTAATTCAATTATTAAAATATGAATGTGGCACGTGATTCGGAGTCAATCACAATTATAAAAAGAAAACCAAACGATTTTTCGTAGCAAATCCGCTTAGCGATTTTCATTATAAATTTATTATACGTTTTATTACATATATAAATACGAATGTTAATAATATATAATTTATTTCATACATTAAATTTATTTGTGCAGACGAAGACCAAACGATCTTCTGACTCTGGCGCATCCGAGTCGACCGCCATTTCTCCCCGCAGGCAACAAATGAACTGGTCCTTCGAGCTGCGATCTCAACTGTGCTGTGACGAGCCGAACAGAGATATTGGGAGCAGACGTGCTTCGTGTGTGTTGTGTGGTGCTTTAAAAATCATAACAGTCTTCCATATTTGACGATAATAATGTGTGTCAATATAATTCGGACGAAGAAATGACGCCTTACGTTGTTAACGAAGAAAGTGACAGTCCCCCGGCCGTGTCACAAATCCCCAAATCAATCATGGTTAATGGCGAACCACCGGATCAGTTAGAAAAAAAAGCAGGAACACCGGAAAGCATCGCCAGCAGTAGTAAAAGTGTGACGAATGGGAATGGTAAAATAGGAAAAGGTACATTAAAAAGGTAAGCCCCTATTGGTATTTAGGGAAATTTCAATGGAGTCTGCTGATGCTGCTGCGCTGGGAAGACCGCTTTCCAGGGGATAACGCATCCTTTCCTTCTAGCAATACACGAAGATCGGATCGGATTTCGTCACGTTTATACGTCAAATCGTGAAGGTTAACGTACTTAATCTTTTATATACACCATTGCTAGAACGAAAATGCGATCTTCTCAGTCGCTTCTCGAATATGTCGGAATTTTTATGCGCTCCTCCAATGTTTAGAAGTATTTGTGTTATTTAATCGTCGCGTTAAACGTGACTGGTAATAAGTTGAAAATATTTCGAACGTAAAGAAACTCAATTGATGTAAACAGCTATGTGACGTCATTCACGTTTCGCGTGTTTTGAAGCACCTGTCGCGTTACGTCATACGTGTACATAACTCACCCACAGAATAGAATTCGGAGATAATTTATAATCGTTAAATTAAACTGATCGAAAATGTGTAATTAAAAATTATGTCGTGGAGTAATTAAATATGTCATTCTGTGTTTTATATACATTATTAACTCATTACACAATGCCTACAAACCATACATAAAAACACACATACACCTACGTCTTTACATAGAAATTATTACTCTGCTGTCACTTATTAATCTGTTTATTTTAACTTCTAGGAAGAACAATAAGGATATTTAATTTTTCCTACTTACATTGCCGAGCCATTGTTTGTATTCTTGTCATCTTCCGTAAAAATAATTCTTATTGCATCACTACTAATGAAGAGTGGGTGACACTTCTGTACTCGATTATGTCGCAACATCAACCAATATTCAATTTTATTATTTCCGTCTTTGGAGTATTATATATTTATTGATGTTAACACGGAACTTGTTACTATTGCCACGATTTATTTTTAATTAAAGAAATTTGTTCTGAAGGTTTTCGGTATCGAGATACAAAATTTCATTATATGGAAACTGCCATTTTTTAAGGTTAGTCACATAGTCGTGTATTGAATTACAAATTAAATACTTGTTTACTCATTTCAAAACTGTTATTACAATAACAAAGAAGCGAAGCTATTCAATTCCGCCCCCGTTTGTTAGTATTTTTTTAAAAATATATCCATTGAAAACATAAATAAGATGATAAAAATTTATATAATATGATCTAATTGTATCGTCCGATTTGTAATCTCATAGTTTGCTATAGGATTTCAAACGTCACACATAACGTCCTCCCATATCTGAATATACAGTATGTTATCTCGAAACAGTATTTCTCTGATAACAAGGCAGAGAAAGCATTTTAAAAAGTTTTTTTGGCATAAAACTGAAATTTTTATAGGTCAAGACGTCGTAAAAATAAAAGACGTCTGCATAAGCGAAACATATTTTTCTGCGGTATTTAATATTAAATTGGAATTAAAGAGAAAAGGATTTTTATATTTGTTTTATAACTTCTTCGAAACGTGCTCTACGTTATTGCCACGTTGACAATAGACGATTGATAGCATATCCGAGTTGAATTACAACCATCCTTCAGACGTGACACGATACTAAAGACGATGGATTCTTATTAAAATGCAATATTAATCGTGAAAAGCTGATAGTAATCGGTATGTAATAATGTTTCAAGAATTAGTTGGATAATACATTTTTCGTAACTAAGCTATTTGTAATATTAGGATATAATGTTGCAACGTAGAATTTTCGTATAAGATTTATGACTTTTGCTTATATTATGACTTTGCATAAGATCCTAAAGAGGAAAAACAATCCCCGAATGTCATAAATCTAAAATATTCAATTCTCATCTGAGTTAAAATTGATTCGAAACCAAACACTTCTATTCTTATTTATTGTCCCGTATAACTTAATCTGCTCATGAAAGTCATATTATATTACATCCTTAAAGATATTTTTGCTTCGTTATAATCCG